GGAATTTGGGGCTTTACAAAACAAAAATGAAAACCTTTCTCTCTTTTGGCTAACAAACTCAAATATTAAGTCTTTGTGTCACTGTCCTTTCAAAATCACAGTGTCCTCTAATGTCTGCTGTCCTTTTTCACAGCCAGAAGAAAGGCAAGGGGAGATTACATGACAAATCTCACCAGTGTTTACTGTTTATTGGTGGCCACGTTGGAGTTAGAGCTGGTGGCTCCTAGTCAGTGTTGCCCTTCCCCACAGTGCCTCCTCACCTCCATTGACACAAAGGTGTTATTTTTATGAAGCCCAGTGCATTATGGTAACATAAAATTCCACTCAGAAAAAAACAGTGCCATTTAGGACTGTCTTGGTAGTAAGGTCCCCTGCATCCCCACCCTAAACAAAACCAAATCTGCCTACCTCATCTTTGATCACCGAAATCCCTTTAACAGGGACAGGTCCTGAGAAACAGTATGTCAAATTAAAAACCACAAGGAGGATAAACGATTGATGTGACTGCTTTTCTGAGTGCAAGGTTGAATAGAGGAAGGTAGGACAGAATACAAAAATACTTTTGAACTGAAAAATGATCCATAAACGATGCTAGAAATAAACTTCACCTATCTTACTGCTTTGCTTGAGATTAGTGACAGTGTCAAAAGGATGGCATGGGCTCGCTTTTGCCCCTTGTCCCCACCCCCCAAATAGCCATCAGTTCCCTACAGTAAAGCAGCACAAAAAAAGTCGTATGATCTAAGGAAAAAGTAGAGTGCACACTATGCAAATATAGTTTCAGGACAAATCTCATCACCTACCCTAATCTGATTTTTGCAACTCAATTGCTACCCTTCATACAAATATATAAATTTCGTGTGTGTGTGTGTGTGTGTGTGTGTGTGTGTGTGTGTGTAGGTTCTAAAGCCTTTCCTCCCAAAAAACAGACTCCATTAGACATAAATACTTTTAAAGAAGATGATAGATTACAAAATTACTTTATAATTTTGGAATTTTCAAGCAACCTCATCCTACGGCTTTGAAGGCAGCAATGCTATCTTATTTCTTACAGACATGTCTTTCTTGTGGCCGTATCTTAAGAAGTGCTCTGGTGAGCTGAACACTTAAAGTGGCATTTCTGATTGTGCCGAGAGTCAGCAGCAGACTAGTTTAAAATTGGGCATCACTGACCAAGTGAGGTCAGTGGGAAATGCTGCAGTCATGGTTCTTGACCAGTGTAGAGAAAGCTATTTTAGTGAGTGAGATCATTCTTTGGCTTTTAAAAATACACTTTTGTGAATGTTAAGCAGTCCTTCCTTGCCCCAGAAGGGCAGTCCCTTCCATCTGGAAGGTGTGCAGTGCTCTGGCCCCTGGCGTCTCGGCTGACGGGATGCCTGGCTCCTGGGCAATGGGGTGGAGGGTTTGAGCCGCACTCCTTTCCCCTGTGTTTTGTTTTGACCGGATGTTAGGCGCTGAATATTTCTCAAGTGTTATATTTCATTGTCCAATTTTCCAGTTTGGCAGGAAATTTTCCTTCTAATAAAAGAAGTTTCTCAGACGGAGATTCCAGATATGTCTAAGCTGCTTTTATTGGGACAATGGAAAGATCCAACCTTTTCTTCTAAGTACAATCAAGAGTCGTACGGCTTTGCGTTTGTATTTCCATAATTTTACAAAGAGTTGAATTACGTAAGTGGAAAATTGTCTCCTCAAGCATAGAGAGAATTTGTTAACACAGAATGTAGCTTGGAAAATGCTGATGTAAAACTTCAATCCAAGAGAGAAACCTTTTAAGTTGCTGAAATGTAGTGGAGAGGAAGAAGGAAATTGCTGTTTTACATGATTGACCAAAATGCACTGTAATTATATCAACTTAAAACAGATCCCTTAGAAGAACTGATAACTCTGTGATCAGAATAAGTCACGTGAACTGGAACGAAATGCCGCATGTACCCTCTCTGCAAAGTGTAGACACGCAGTATGTGTGATGTGCAATAGAAGAGACAGCTGTTCCTGCCTTAGCCTGTTTAATGGGACCTCCAGCTGCTTTAGCAGTAAAGAATGGTGGGGAGGCCTTACTGAGGAATTAGCATTTACCATGCTGGCTCATCTCCTTGCATTGCTCAACAAGGCAGTTTCGGACTCTCCTCATGTAATGCTATTTTGATGTTGCCACTCCTGTTTGTAATTAACATAGCATCACTCATCAGGCAGTCAGCTTCTGAATGGGATGCTCCTCAAGGATTCCACCGCTGTCTTTGTTGCCTGTTCTAACATGGGTGGGTAACGTAACTGAGCCACGTAACTGAGAGAAGGCCATGCAGAATTAGCTGAAGTACTCCGCTGAGGAACAGGAAAAAGTCAAATGACCTATGTCGGGCTTTGACTTTTATCTCACAAATACCCTCCTCTGAACCTCTCAGGTCTGCACTCACCCTAAGCAACTGGATGGCACCAGTGGAGGGCTGTATCATCTGTTCTGAAGGGGGCTCAGGAGGCTGCTCTGGTGGGGATTTTTCTGTTCACTTCTCCTGAAAGCACATTTTCCTCACTGAACTTTGTTTCTCTCATTTCCCCACTGCAGTGCCTCCTCCGGGCTTACCCTTTTGTGTCTCTGAACCCTACAGGGCCAGCTCAAATCCCTTCTTCCTGAAACCCTGCCCAGTCCTCTGCAGAAAGCAGTAATTGCTTCCTCTGGTGAACACCTGGGTGATGTGTTGCTGATGCCCCGTAACATCTCTCACTATTTTCCCTTATATTGTTATTACCTTTTATCATTTATTTATTTATTAAGTTTCTTGAGAAACAATGTCCTAGGTTTTTGTAAAACCTGTGACATCTTATTTCACATGGCAAATGTTTTTTAAATACATGGTAATTCAGATGAAAAGCATCTAGAAAGGAATTTAATAGAGGTAAATGAACTTAATAAAAATTACTGTAGCTATTATGAGAAAGATCTATAAGCATATAATGCTTTTATAATATGTAAAACTATTTTAAGTTATTTTCTTGAAAGAATAGTTAGAGAAGAATCTTGGGCTTCCCAACTAGACATAAGAAAATGTTTCAAACTCAGCAATGACTATAGATTACAGATATGCAAATGCAGAAATGAAGATTGTGTTATTTCAACTACATGCCATAATCCAGAAATATGAAACATGGTCCATCTACCTGACCAGCAAATCACATTCTGGATTCTAGACAGGACTGCTTATTGCGTCTTCTGGGCCAGTGATGATACACACACCAAATGCAACTCTGAATCGAGACTAGTTTAAATGAGTTAGCTGATCTGGTCCAGTATCTACTGATAAGCTCCATGAAATTTAAATTTTAGAGGTGTAGTTCTTGCCTGGAAACGAACCTTCCAAAACTGACCATGCTGATAGAGCTACAAGTCTGATAAACAAAACCATTGTGAGGATGAGTGCCTAGGACATTTTAGGTGTTGACAACAGTAGCCCGTGTCGGGCTGTGGAATATTACTTGCTGGGTTGAAGAGGATCAAGAGCGGCTCACACTGAATGTATCAGTTTTTAAAAACCTATCTATTAAAAAAAAAAGGGATTACCAAACAAATACATCCCTCTCATTACATTTTTGTTGCCACCATTCATAGTCTGACATCATTATCTTCACCTAGACTGTTGGATTGCTTTCACATTCTGCCCTCTATACTCTCATTCTAATCCACCCAATCAGCAGTAAATAGTTTAGGGGATTCCTATGTGCTGAGTACTCTGCTGGAAGACTTACCTCCCTCATTTCAGAATGGCTAGTCTCCTAAACAATCACATTCAACAACTCTCCACTTCACAAAATCAAATCTAAGTCAGTCCCCCTTTCCAATCTTATTTTGTACTTGTTTCATTTGTATGCCCAACTGCTTCAATCAGAGTAAATCATTCACTCTTTTCTGTGATATATGTGTCAGTTCTCAGCATAATTCCCCGGGGTCTAGAACTACAAAATAAATCACTCTTAGAGGCTGTGTTCCTATCATAAATCCAACAGTCTGAGAAAAACATCTCAAAGTAGACAATATTAGAGATGCTTTTGGAAATTCTTTTTAAAAATGCTTGGTAAAATTGTGGAGGAAAGTACAGAAGGGGTACAGGCCTTAATTCAGAATTGGAACGAGGAAGTTAAGCACAAGGAGTAGGCAGACTACAGAAACCCCAAAACAGAGGACAGCTGGGGTGGCAGGAAATGAAAACACCTGTCATAAATCTCTTTAGAAACAAACCCCAGGGTAGAATGCAAAATGAAGTTAGGACCCTCATACTGAAAACTTCCATATTTTGAAGTTTAGAGTTCTGAGATCCATGACCATGCACAAAAAGAATTGAAAAGAACTTAGCATTCTAGAATGGGACATACTTGCTTTGGGCACCAACTGTCTGTAGAGCATTGTACTTCTGTAAAGACCCCAGTAGCCTGAACTACCCACAATGGCCAGTTCCACGTCATGAAATGGTGAGAGTGAGATATATCACAGCACAGCGCCAACTCCTGCCCTCAGCACAGGCTCCTGTCTGCCAGAAAGACGCCAAATTCACAGTCAGGATCGAAGTGGCCATATCAGCTGCTCTGTATTTTTAACTTTTGTATTAAATTGCCATCAAGGAGCACTAATTAAGATAAAAAATAGAGCTTTGTTTCATGTGCATCTTCAGATTTCTGAACTATACATTAACACAATCTATGACATCTGTGTATGCTTTTTACAAAAGCAAAAAAGCATAAATGCCTCTGGGTGCATCTGTCTGGCTGAGAAACAGATGGGAAAAAAACTCTTTCTACAGTTTCTATTAAAGTTCAGAGAAATATAATTTTATAGGTTACAAAAATAAGGTAAAGGCTATATAAAAATAAATCAACAAAATCTATAGCAAAAAAGAATATTTTGGATTAATCTATAAAAGCTGAGTTTCCTCAGACTTTGAAAAATGAGAAAACCATTTGACAAAGTCCTTAACTTGGATTCTTTTTTTGTTTGATTTTGTTTTTAGGTTCCAAATCCAGAGATGTTCAACTGATCCAAACAGTTATAAAAGCTTAGGAGACAGCTTTCTAACAATTTTCCGAAGTGAAGGGTATGTATGGTTTTTCATATATAGATTCTATGTTGATATAGGCATTTAAATATATTATTACATGACACATTTTCTCATTTTGAATGGGATATTTTCCTAGTCTTATTAGAGAAAAACAAGGGGTGCCTTCCTACTTTTTTGTGTTGTTCTTGACAATATAATCAAAAATTAGTATGTATACAATAGAAAATACGATAAAAATATATTAATGATCAGTTTGATGACTAGAGAGGACAATTTCTAATTTGTTCCATGAAGACTTTTTAGAGTGCTCAATACCTAGGACTATGTATGTGTGACAGTTCTTCACTTTTATTCTTAATGCTGTTGCCCAAATGTGTTCCCTGTTTGCATTGTGGTTTATGAACTGATCTATGTGAGAAATTGATGTGCCAAATTCCTCATCCTAGTTGACAAAAAAATAAGTAGAATATTTTGATTTTATAAGCTAAAATTATCTCTGATGTATAGATTCAGTTGAAGACTTCATCCAGCATAATCTTCCAATGGATGTTAGATTTACCTTTTGGTTGAAGTTGTTTTCATAAGAGAATTGGTTGAAATAATTATACAAAAATGATAACAGTGATAATAACTAGCAAGTATATTTAGCTTCACTATGTACTAGGAATTCTCCTTATTACTCTATGGGGTAAGTTCTGTTAGGATCCATTCCAGGTGGACAGGTGAAGAAACCAAGGCTCAGAGAAGTTGGTAACTTTCACACATCCAGTGTGGGTTGTGGAGCTGGCACGCGAATCTTGGTCTGCCTGACCCCGGAGCCCACGCTCCTGCCTGTGGTGGTTCACCACGTCTCTTGGCAGATTGGGCTGTGGATATTGTTCTGAGAAAGTGTTTATTTTAGTTAAATATATATTGTGGACATCTTTACATTACAACAGCATGGTAATTTATTTATCTACCTGCTGTAATGTATTAAATTAATCCTTTTCGCGGACCATTAGATTGTTTTCAGATTTTCACTATTATAAAGAGCAGTGCAATGAGCATTCTTACACTAGTTTTGCATGTTTGTGTACATATGTATATATTTATATAAAATGAAGTTATGGGTTTATAGGATTTGATGTTACCAAATTATCTTCCAAAAAGTACATAATGATTTTATACCCTTAGTATTTGAGAGTTCTCATTTTTCACAGCCTCCCAAACACTGGACATTACCAACCATTATTTGGTATATGTCACTCACTTGCATCTCTTGTTTATAGTCTAATAAGTAAAAAATGAAACTATCTTAATATTATTCCTGTGACCAAACGCAGGTTCTGCTGCCCACCGCTACCCAAGCCAATGCTTGAGAGGCAGGTGCTGATGTAAAGGAAAGTGGTTTATTCAGGTGCCAATACCTGGAAGGTGGGGGACTCGTGCCTCAAAGCCCATCTTCCTGGGGAGATAGAAGACTCATGTCTCAAAGCCCAACATCTCCCCATCTCAGTGGAGGCTGAGGTTTTTATGAGGAGGGAGAGGGGAACAGAACAAAGAGTCAGGGCAGGAGGTTACCAAGTGCAGACCAACACTGTCCATTCCTGTAAGTCAAGTGATGGCACGATGTGCACCATCTTGGTTTAATCATCCTGACTTTACATCATCTGGGCTCCACAGTGGCAGGCCACAAATCTCCTGGAGCTGGGATGCCTGGAGGTCAGAGTTTGTACCTTTTGAAGGTAGTTCCTAGGATTCTTATACAAACATGCTATTTATCTACAAGCTACTAGTCAGAGTCAGCACATACAGAAACAATGTCAAAAGCATGGTGTAGTGGGTTACAATGTCCCACTGTTACATTCCTTCGATGTAATTGGAATTGAGCATACTTTTATATCATAAAGTATCATTTCTTTTATGAATTGCTTATATGTGTCCTTTGTCTACTTTTTCATAGGTTAATTTTTTAATTGATTTGTAGGAGTTTAGTACCATATATTGTTGTAGGTGCTAATCTTTTGATTCTTATATAGAATTCAAATATTTTCCTAGCTCGTCATTTGTCTTATAACTACAGTGTCTTGCACCTTTCAGAAGTTTGTATTTTTTGAAGATTGTGATTTTGTGATTATATGTCTGTTTTCCTTTGTACTGTCTGATCTTGATGTCACATTTAAAAAGATTATACACATTTTCTTCTGGTACTTTTTACATTTAAATCTTTAATTCATAGAAGAATTTTTCCATGTGCAGTATGATAGATAGGAATTTAGTTTTATTTTCACTGGTTAGTCAATTGCCCAAATTCCACTTGTTGAAAATTCTTCCTTTACACACTAAATGGAAATGCTAGCTTTTTCACATATTAAACTTTCATGTACGTCATCTAATTTTTCTATTTTTTTCTCCATTTCCTGTTCTGTCTCATTAATTATCTATTTCTAAGCCAGTATCATGCTGTGTTTATTATTTTACCTTTAGAGTATTTTGAGAAACATCATGGTGTGCAGAGCCCTTCTAATACGGCCGTCCCTCTTCTCCGGCTCATCTCTGACACACAGCCCTGCTTTGGGAATGGCAGACATCTCGGCCCCTGGGCTCTCACACCCTTGTGGCTGTGTGTGCTGTTCCCTGTCCCTGGAGGACCAACCTCCTAATCCACACAGGAAACGACTGCTGTTCACTCCAGGGTGCCTTCACATTTCACCCTGTCTGACCATCTGCCACATGCTTTCTATATGAGTCTTTCTTTCTATATATGCATATGCTATATAAAATATAGTATGCATCGCCCTGATTTATTGTGCTCATTTTGTCTCCCCTCCCACACCCCAAGTACGTATTTCCCTAAGGGCCGTGTCTCATTTAGCTTTGTACTCCTGAGGCCTGTATTTGGCACTGACTAGAGATACTCAGTAAGTGTGTGCTGACCAAATGAATGAATGTCATCACAACAACATCAGAATGATGCAAAATGAAATGGAGATGATAGTTCTTGCCGAAGTTATGATAATGATCTGGATGCCTGATTAAAGATTTTAAGCTCACCTAGTGACATAGGATTAGCAAGTTCTTGCCATTACACGGGCAACGTGACACCTCAGTGCCATACATTGGTAGTGTACCTGTTTTATAACAATTAGGATCAAAGCATGTTCATTTTACCCAAAATGTACATGAAGAAGTCATAGCGTGTTATGTAATCTGTAAACGCGTCCCTTTGCATTAAAACAGTAGTGTCAGCAAAGCCAAGTCCTGTAAGCTGTAACAGATCTCTGAGTTGGATGTGGGAGTTCCTTAGCCAGGCTCTTCATTTCATGTGTTTTAGGAGGAATTTGATGTTTCTGCTTTGATATCAAGTAATGTAACAAACATACACTATGTGTGGTCCTTGCATAGTAAAATTGGCCTTTTCCTAGACTGGACGTGTAATTGCTTCTATAGCAAATTGACATTCTTTCTATACTGCCTTTAGATCTGGGCATGCTGTTAGTCAAAAGCCAGAATGCTCTACTCTTAGAGATGGTAATATTTGGAAAAGAAAAAAAGCTGCCTGTTATTTTTGACATAGAGTAAGAGCATTTCATTGCCTTGGGTTAAAAAAGAAAAGGAAAACTTTTAACACATACCGTGTTGAATTTCTTTCCTAGTAAAAGTGGTTACTTTTTTTTTTCTTATTTAGCTTTTAGACTAAGTACACTCTGCTTTCAAAGATGTTCACAGAGGCCAGGTTGGTCTGCAGTCTGCAAGGAGGACAGCACCAGTCAACTTGACTATTAGCATATTTAGAATACATACCTCCTGGTTTTTCCTACCTCCCTCAAGTTAAAGGTTTTGAAAGCTAGTCCTTTTCTTTTGTTTGAAAACATTTAACTCTGGTAAGCCACAAAATTTCCACAGATATCCTGTTTTCCCTCTGTAAGAACGTGAAGTGGTAGTTCTTGGAGATGCAATTCCTCACCTCTCTGTGAAGAGTTCACATTTCCAAAAGACAATAGCTAAACCACCTGGGTCCAAAATCTTTTACTGGTTCTAAAATTCTTTTTCGTTCTTTCATTAAAGACATAGTTTGTAAACCCAGCTTTAACAAAGCTGAAATTAATTTAAGTCAAAAATATATACCTTCCAAATTCTGAGTAAGCATTTCTATAGTATGAAATCATCACATTTAGTTACCTTTTATCAAAGAGGCCATCACTGTTTTTTCTAAAAAAGAAGAGAGAACTCAAAGGAAAGGAATTTGTCACTGTTGAGAGCACCTCATTGTCACCATGATCCTTTTTTTTTAAAAGTTTGTTGATTTGAGAGGGAGAGAAACATCTTCGTGGGAGAGAAACGCTGATTGGTTGCCTGCCGTACACGCCCCAACCAGGGATCAAACCTGCAACCTAGGTGTGTGCCCAGCCTGGAAATCAAACGCCAACCTTTTGGCTTATAGGACGATGTTCCAACCAACTGAGCCACACAGGCCAGGGCAACACCAGGATTCTTCATCTTTCTCTGGTTTGACAAAAATAAACTAACAGGTCTATCTACTATAATTGTGAGCCCAGAAAGACACTGAGATTTAGCTTAGTTGATTAACTGCCTTTAAAACCGATAAAGTTAATTTTGTACTCTCCTAATGAAAAGCAGCTGGTAACTCTGTTTGCCATGTGTTCACGCATCATGCCTCACTCCGTTTGTGCAGAGTACCTCGTGGGCCTTTTTATAGTCTCTTTTTTACTCGTCCTCCCTTTAAAGGGAGTGATTGAGATGTTTGTCGATGGGTGAGGGGATTGTAAATATGCTAGGAAAAACTGGGACTGCCCACCCCTTTCTCTTCCTCCCCTAAAAGTGCCTAGAAAAAAGGCATTAAAAATAATTTAAGATATTTTGGTGCATAAGTAAAGAGGAAAAACTAATATTTATTTTTTCAGTGCACAGGCACTATTCTAGGGACTTTCTCATTCATTATTCTCAACATCACACTGTTTTCAACACAACACAGCATCATTCTGTCTGTCTTCTGTATGAGGTAACGGCAGGTTTGAAAAATCAAATAACTTGCT